AGCTGCCCTCCTGCGCCACCGGTGCCACCACAGTGGCTACCGGACCACATTGTCCCTGGCCGCCCTGTATGAGTCACCCTGTGTCCAAACCACGGCCCCCCGGAACCTCACCCAGGAGCTCACGATTGAGGGCACAGGCAACCCTGGGGCCTGCGTCTCAGCGATCCGGCAGCTCTTCAACTTCTCCAGCTGCCGGGGCCGTGAAGAATGCGCCTTCAATGGGGTCTACCAACCCCCCGTGCAGGGCCAGTTCTATGTGAGCACCACACAGGACCCCCGCCCCAGGGTTCTGATCCCAGGTGGGGTGGTGGGGCCTGCTGGCTCTCAGGGCTGGGCTCAGGGGCTGGGGGGGACATGGCCTGGCCATGCAGCACCAGCTCCCTCCCTCCCCCAGGCCTTCTCCAACTTCTACTACACGTTCCACTTCCTGAACTTGACCTCCGGACAGCCGCTGGGCACCATCAATGCCACCATCTGGGAGTTCTGCCAGAGGCCCTGGAAGCTGGTGGGTGGGTCCTGGCAGCCTGTGGGTGTGGGCAAGTGAGGCCTTCACTGTCTTGCGGGGCACAGGGCCTCGCCCGTGGGGCTGTGAGCACCATAGGCTGGTGGGCCTAGGGCCCGGGGGGCAGCCTGGGGAGGGAGACCTACCCCTTGATAGGAGGTCTGGGGTCCTGACCTGCAGGAGGGCCATGCCAGGCTCCTCTGAAGTGGTCAGTGGGTCCCACTGGGACAGCAGTGAGACGCTGTCAGCGGTTCCGGCCTCCCGCCACTTCCTTGGTCCTGGCCCAGGTTCAGGCCAGCTACCCGGGGCAGCAGCGCTGGCTGCCGGACTACTGCGCCTCTGGCCTGTACATCCTCACGCTCCTGCATGAGGGCTACGGTTTCAGCGAGGCGACCTGGGCCAGCATCGAGTTCCGTAAGCAGGTGACCCCGCCTCCGGGGCCGTGGCCCATCTGCCTGGGTGAGCACGGGGCAGGGCCGGCAGCTCCCTGCAGCCCGAGTAGCCCTTGTGACCCATGTGTCCCACAGGCTGGCGGGGGTGACATCGGCTGGACGCTGGGCTACATGCTGAACCTGACGGGCATGGTCCCCGCCAGGGCGCCGGCCGAGGGGCGGGCCCAGAGCCTCCTCGTCTGGGTGGCCGGAGTGGCGCTGGTGGCACTGATGCTCGTGACCATCCTCGGGGCGGCAGGGGTCCAGCTTTTCTGGCCCCGGAAAGCAGGCAGAAGCGGACTCGGTTCTGGGAGCCGACCTGACCCTGCAGGGCCTTGACCCGCGGCCCCGGGAAGGCAGGCAGAGGTGCTGCCCCAGACACCTGGGCCCCACACGGCCTCTGCATCTCAGACCACGGAGACCGTCCAGATTCCCCAGGCCAGCAGCTGGCACCAGGCCCTGCGTGCTCCAGGGTGGTGACTGCAGGGCACCAGGGAGAAGCCTGGCTCCCTGGAGGAGCAGCCGTGGGACCGGAGTCTTGGGAAGAGACTGAGGAGGCCCAGCTCCCCCACTGCTGTCTGGTGGAAGGACGGAGTCTGGTGCTGTGGGCTTCCCCAGGGAGGTCCTGCTCAGAAGCAGAGCACGCCGTGCTGGGGACCGTTTCCATTAAACCCTGCTGGCTGTAGGACTTCCTGAGCTGGTCTCTGCTGGGCCTGTGGGGGACGAGGGCTCCTCACACAGGCCGGCCGGCCGGGACCACGGAGCACGGGGGTGGGGGAAGATGCCGACGCGGCCGTCCTGGTGGTCCTCCAGCCACACCTGGTCCACTGCTAGGGAGGGTCGGCACCCCAGTCTACCTTCACACAGGATGTGCACCATGTCCCCTTGCTGCAAGTCCAGGTCCTCGGGGCCCTGGGACGAGTAGCTGTGGCAGGCCACCACCTGGTAGAGGCTAGGCCGGCTCCCGGCTCCCTGCGGCAAGAGCGGGGTCTGCAGCGTGGGGGCATCGGGAGGACCCCACCCCAGCCCTGTTCACCTTGCTTACCTGGCAGGGAAACTCAACTCCTTGGGGTCCACAGATGTGGCCTTTCACGCCCTCTGCAGTGCTCCCCAGGGGTGGGGACCCAGTGCCTGGCTGCCCGGGGCTCGGTAACTGCAGAGTCCGTGGGGTGGCTCAGAGGGAAGCAGCAGGGGCCCTGCTCTGTCACCCCTCCCCCAGAGGCTGTCAGGGTCCCCACTTGCCCACTGCTCAGCTCTGGGTCACCTGAGGTGACTGCTCTGGGCCTGGGGAGAGGGCCTGCCCCAGCAGGGCCTGCAGGCTGGACAGGTCAGCTCCTCTTGGGGCCCACAGGGCCACGGCAACAGTTGTCTCAGCCTCCGGGGCCACTGCCACTTCCTGGGGTCGGGGAAAAGGGTGGGGAGGCTGCACAGGCTGGTGCTCAGGGGTGCCCAGGGCCAGGGCCAGCAGAGAGAGAGAGGGCGCCTCTTACCCCAGCACCGTCGGGTCCTCGGCGGGCTAGGCCCAGGCAGCACTGTGGGGTCAAGCAGGGACGCAGCGTCTCACAGTGGAGAAAAGGTGGCAAGTACCAGGGATCCCAGACACATGGCCCGTCCACGGAGGCACTGCCCACCACCCAGGACCTCCTTATCTGGGCTGGAAGGAGCCCTTCCTCAGCTTGGTCCACGTGGGACTTCACAAAGGGAAGCTGTGAGTCGGATGGTCCTGGGCCGATGGGGGAGGGGCCTGGTGGTCCTGGCGTGACCAGACACATGGCCTGGGGGTGGTCTTGGGGCAACTGTAGGCGTGGCCCAGGTGTGGGAGGGGACAGGCCTGGCTGGTGTCCATGTCCAGACACTGTCCTAGCAGGGCGGCAGTGTGGGGTGGGAGACAGTGGCCCGGCCAGAGGCAGGCAGATTCGGGCCACTGTCCCCACAGGCCTAGAGACACTGCACGGGCAATCCGGTGCCAGGGGGAGCGATCTGTCTTCCCAGTGTTTCCCTCAGGGCTGGGCCCAGAGGCGCTGTGGCTGGCCCAGACCCACCCCAGGGGGGTTCAAGGCTATGGACAAGGCACCGCTGGCCAATGGCTAGGCCACCAGGGAGGTGTTGCCTTCGGGTCAGAAACGTTGGGCTGAAAGCTCCGTGGCCCGGGCGGGTGGCTGGGGCTAGCTTAGCAGGTCAGAGGGCGACTGCCTCAGAGCCTGAACATGGTGAGAGGCATGCAGACATCTGGCCTGTCCTCAGTAAGCCAGGGTCCTCTGCACATCCACTCGGAGTAGCTGTAGCCCGGCTGCCCTGCCTCCTGACTGGGGCTGGGGCAGTCTCCGCTCCAGTCACTTGCTCCTGTGGGAGGGTGTGTTATTATCCCTGGCGGGGGTGAGGGGGTAGGGAGCATCCTCTACCCCGCAGGTGCCCTGCCCTGCCCTGCCCTGGCGAGGCCCAGGTGTACTCGCCCACTCTCCACAGCTGCCTGGTGTGCAGTGGTTGGCCCGTCCAGGCTGGGCACGGCCACCCTCCACCTGTGTCCATGGGACTGTAGTGGGCCCCAGCAATCCCAAGTTCTCTGACTCAGGCCCTGGGGAAGAAGGCAGCCCCGTGCTCTCAGGGCTCACCCGGGGCAGGCTCTGAGCAGCCTGGCCAGGTGGGGTGGCCGGCTCTGTCCCGGTCCAGAGTGCCCCGTGGAAGGTAGGCCTGAGAAGAGGCGTGGGCACGGGTGCTCAGGGAGGCCTGGCCCTGGAACCAAGGCTTGCTCTGTCTCCCACTGTCCACAACTGAGCCCCAGCCTCAGCCTCACCTGTCCGCAGAGGAAAGCCTGCCTACAGGGACCCGGGCCCCTCCCCAACGGTTCTGGGCTGCCAAGGTTTCAAGTTCCCTCCTGTCCCCACCAAGGAGGATGAGGCGCAGTTCTCCGGTGTGGAGACTGGGGGAGGAATAGGGAGGGGCCGAGAGAGGCTGGGGTCCTCCTCCAACCATCCCGGCACTGGGGGCTCCAGCCCGTGTCAGCCCGGGGGTTGTCCTTT